TTTTTCTCAGTAGATTTTTCTAGTTCTGTCCCTTGATCTTAACATGCTTTAGTAGTACTTGATATTTTAGTTTCTAGTGGGTAGCATGTTTTGAAGAGACCAAGTAAGTCATTTTCTCTTTTTGAAAATCCTTGAATGCTACTGAGATACTAAAAGCTATTTGTCATGAAAATTTATGTCCCACAAGCTTCAGTTGGTTTATAATTATGGGAAATATTTGGCATTCTTTTTTAGTTTCAAGAGACTATATTATATTCATTCAACAAGGTAATTATTAAGTCCCTAAGCAAAAATAACTTTTATGATTTTTCACTTTTAATTAAAAGAATATTATAAATATTTTGGTAAAATAAAATTCAACCCACTAAACTATATAAAAGTTCAAGAGTAAATTACATATGAAAGTCAATAAATATCATTTCACTCTCATTTTATATAAATGGATAGTAGTTTTCTTAGATTCTTTTACTAGTTAGATTTTCTTGCATAATTGGGAGGGGAGAAAGTCTCTGAATTATGTCTTTACTATGAAAAGACACAAGTAATCATGAGATTCAATCTCGATAGTTTTTTTTCAAATATTTTGGCATTAACACATAATCTTTTTAGCAAAAAATGTGAATTTGTCAAACATGTAAAAAAAAATATTTTCACTTTATTTCCTTTCATTGGTTTACCTGAAAGAGATATTCCTCAATCCTTCCATGTGCAAAGCTTCTAACCATTTCACTTTAAATATTCCTTTAGTGTTAAAGATCTTTAGATGACAGTTGTTATAGCAGCAACTCTTCCTGTGCTTACAAAACTCACAATTGAAAACCCAATCAAGCATTCAAAATCTTAAAATACATTGGAGTAAGTTAGATACTCACGATTTACCTTCTTTAGAATTGATATATTCATTATAAATGCACATTAATTTTAACTATTGACTTACGATATTTTATCTCTTCCTTTCTAGACACAGTGGATGAAATATACAGTTTTTTTTTTTTAAACGGGACCTGAGAGATCCACGTGCAAAATCTACATGACACGAGGACTTTTATTTCTTCCCACATGATACCACTTTAACATGCAAAAATCGAAATATGGTCGCAAAATAGGCCCCTGTATCAAGGGCCGGAACCTGGAGTCTACATCCGGAGTCTTTCTGCCAGCCCTCATCAGTGGACTGTAGCGTGGGAAAAGTTGCCACGATGTATGCTGAAATATACAGTTTTTAAACTAATAAATTAGTATGTGCCTCCACTGCGTTTCTGTAAACTTCTGTGTTTTGACACCATGCTGTGTCACATTTAAACTGGTTTTCAATGTATATGATGTTTTGCTTCCAACTTTATGTACTGCGTCTCCTCCTGAGTTCATTTTTGGGAGATGGTAATTTTGTAAATATGAGGAACATAATAGTATTCCTAGTATTATTCTCAATGAGTAATATTTGCTAATCCTGTAAAAAACAATGACATCATGAAATTTGCAGGCAAATGAATGGAACTAGAAAATTATCATCCTGAGTGATGTAACCCATACTCAGAAGGACAAACATGGTATGTACTCACTCATAAATATATACTAGATATAAAGCAAAAGATAACCAAAGTACAACCCACAGCTCCAGACAAGCTGGCTAACAAGGAGGACCCTAAGAGGGACATATTGATTGTCATGGGAAGGGAAAATAGAGAATATCTCCATGAGTAAACTGGGGATGAGAAAAGGCATTGGAGGGTGGGGGGTAGGGGATGACAACATGAGGGAAAAGGATGGTCAAGCTGGAGCAGGGACAGAGTGGGGGCGCAGGGAGGGGGATATCATGATGGAGGGAGACATTATGGGGATGGGGAGAGGCTGGGTGCTGGGGAGGTTCCCAGGAATCCACAAGGATGACCCCAGCTTAGACTACTAGCAATAGTGGAGAGGGTGCCTAAACTGGCTTACCCCAGTAATCAGATCAGTGAATACCCTACCTGTCATCATAGAACCTTCATCCAGTAACTGATAGAAGCAGATGCAAAGATCCACAGTCAAGCACCAGGCCAAGCTCCAGGAGACCAGTCAAAAAGAGAGAAGAGGGATTCTATGAGCAAGGGATTCAAGATCATGATGGGGAAGCCTACAGAGACAACCAAACCAAACTAGTGGGAACTCATGAACTTTATACCAACAGCTGTGGAAACCTCCATGAGACTAGACTAGGCCTCTGCATAAGGAGACAGTTGTGTAGCATGATCTGTTTAAGGAGCCCCCTAGCAGTAGGACCAGGATCCATCCCTGGTGCATGAGCTGGCTTTTTGGAGCTCACTGCCTATGGTGGGAACCTTGTAAAGCCTTGATACAGGGGGAGGGGCGTGGACTTGCCTCAACTGAGTGTATCAGGCTCTGTTGACTCCCTATGGTAGACCTTGCCTTGTTGGAGAAAACAATGAGATGTGGATTGTAGGGGGAATGCTGGAGGGGCAGGAGGAGAGAGGAGAGGGGGATCTGTGATTGGTACATAAAATGAATTAAAAAACCCTTAATTTTTTAAAAAAAGATGTGCTAATCATAGAAAATTACAGAAATTAGGTATCTTTCTCAAACTGCATCCAATAATTTATTTAAGTAATAGATTAGATTATTGGGTTGAGGCACACACACAATCATTTAAACAATTACTGAAAAAGACCACATTAGTATCTTTACAATTTTTTAATTTTATGATTATATGTAACAAACAAGTGAGATAATTTGACGTGTTTAACCTCTGTTAATTGAAAATATGACTATTTAAAACAGTTATATATGTTCTCTGTAGAGAACATTTTGAGGAGGCATGCAGATACTTATTGTACTAATAGCTTTTTTCTTACAGAATAATTATGTTTCAATTCAACTCACCTAAAAAAATCTTAATCAGAGTATTTCCTGATTACTTACCAGAATTTGTTGCTGTATTAAATTTAAAGTTTTTATACCTGGCCTCATATATTCTCTGTTCGTTTTCAAGATGCACTTTCCAAGATATGAATAAATAGCAAGCTGACTCAAGTTTTCTTTATTTTATGTGCTGACTCTGAGTTTATAGCTTTAGGCTGTTTTTGTCACAAAACAACAATCGAATTTGTTATTATTTTTCATGTGTTTATATATCTAAAGGTATTTTTATAAGCATTCTAACTTGGTTCATATGAATTTACACTTTTTATTTGTTATGTACTTATAATAGGATATACAACTGAATGTATTACAAAGTAATTGATTTTTTTGTTTTTAAATTTTAGAATAATGGGTCACTATACCATCATTATGACATATATTCAAACTTGCATACTTATTTTATGAATAATTTGATCACCATTAATGAGATGACTGTTATTTATTTTATTTATGCTATATTTGGTATTAAATTTACTATTACCTATATAAATAAATTGATAGATAACTATGAAAAAAATGTGCTACTTTAAAATAGTGGTTTAATGACATGGAACTTTCATATTTAATGTTTGTTCACTGTTATCTTTCATTGAAGCTGGGATCTTAACTCAGACAGAAAATATTGTTATTGCAAATTTGATGTCAAAAAACATGTCAGGTGTAAGAAGTTTTTCCTGATAAACTGGACTCTCTCTTTCTATAACACCTATGCATCATGCCATTTTCTCCCCTACTGACACAGTTTGTGATAGATATTCTATTTTTTATTGTACTTTTGGTTCTCTTCTCTTCTCCTTCCTTAATACCCTTAAGACAGTTTTCCAAGTCAATGACTCATGAAACTAAAGTGTCTACTTCTGATCTAACATACGATTTGCCTGTGTAGTCTGGCCAATTTAGTATTCATCTCCTACAAAATCCTCAAAAGAAGTCATTTTGCACACTTGAATAATATACATCTCAGTTGTCTGTTGGCATACCTGGTCGTCTTACTTTCACTGTGGAATGTAATTTGTTCCTGAGCATTAGTTCTTGGATTTTATTTTCAATATATTGGCATGGTTTCAATACCCAAGTTAAACTTCACTCACCCACCCACACAGTCAAGGACATAAATAAATGACATTCAGAATAAAAAGAGAAATCCTGTTCACAGATACTACAGTTTCTATTTTTCTTTATTTTAAAATTGTTGCAGCATGCATTTCTGACAAAGATATTAGTAAACAGTTGGTATAAGAAAACATTATGTTCCTGATATAATATCATAATAAAAAGTTTAAAGTATATTCGAATCTGCTGACTTTTAGGTAATTTCACATGGTTCATCCAATAGTAATGAATAGAACTAAGCAATTAAATATATACAGTAATTTTTAGTTTAATAAATTTGTATATAATTTGTTCTCTGTATTTGTGAATGTCATAAACATCTTTTAGTTTCAAAGCACAAACTCAATTCGTAATTGTTAATTTTTTCATTTTATAGTTACTCTGTGAGTTAGTATAGTATCATTTTAGTTATAGAAATCAATGATCGTATTGGCCTAATTACTAAAATTAGATATCACCTAGGAAAGACTGAAAATGGAGGACTGGAACCATGGAGCTCCACTTCTATTTTTTTTTTTTTTTTTTTTTTTTTTTTTTTTTTTTTTTGGTTTTTCGAGACAGGGTTTCTCTGTGTAGCTTTGCGCCTCTTCTGGAACTCACTTGGTAGCCCAGGCTGGCCTCGAACTCACAGAGCTCCTGGCTCTGCCTCCCGAGTGCTGGGATTAAAGGCGTGCGCTGCCACCACCCGGCGAGCTCCACTTCTAATGAGGGCTTTCAATCACAGGTATGGCTCCAGGGCTAGGATCATAAAGAACTGACCGATTTAGAATTTGAGATGCAGAAACATATTTTACTCATTCAATTGATTTTGAGAAGTCACAACCTGGGTTCTGGGTTTGCAGATGACATATTCAGAAAAGTCACACCCAACAATACCGTGAAGGAATCTGTAGGGAAACCAAATGCCGTGGTCCATGCTTCCTCCACAATGCTGTGTGAAACAAGAATCCAGAGAACTGTCTTCACTGATAATTTGTCTGCATGTCCTAAATATATGAGAATATGATTATTTAAACCTATGCATGTTGTTAGGCCTAAGGGCCTTTCCATCCCTGTCAAGAGGGGCACTAACTTTTTCTTCTTTCACCAGGTAACTTGTGTGTATATTATAACTTCCAGTTTAATGATTTTATGAGATTCTTGGGTATGCAAATGAGTGGGTCTCTGCTTCTTGTGCCTTCTGTTGTGTTATTTTCCTTTTGTTGGTTTGTCTTGTCCAACTTTGCTGCAATAGCTTTTGTTTTATCTTCTTGTATTTTATTTTGTTAAATTTTAAGAAATAAATGAATGAAAACCTAGATACTAGGAAAAAGTTAACAGCTGAACTGTCATTTATGCATGATGGAAGAAAACATCAGTTTTCTACAGTGACGTGAGACTAGGTATATCAATCACTCCAGGAAAGGCCTCATGTTCAGGAGTGGTAGAACATCATACAATGGACGTCATGATTTATTTGTGTGCTTTTATTTGGTGATAGTTTGCTGGATTCTTGTTTTCTTTTCTTTTGGGTGGTGGTTTTTTGTTTGTTTGGCTTTGGGGGTTTTGTTGTTATACTGAGTTTTTTGTTTGCTTCTTGAGAAAGAGCTTAAAGTTGGGTGAGTATGAATGAAGGAAGGATCTGAAAGGACTCGAGGAAGTGGAAATGTGATCAAAATATATTTAAAGTAAAAATTTGAGTTAGTAAAAATATTAGAAAGTAAATTTATTTTTAGTCTAGAGTAAAAAAGAAAGGAAGATTCTGTAGGTTTTTTTATACATAAAGGAATATTTATAGAATTTATGTAAGATTATTGCATAAAGAGAAAAAAATTGATTTAGTTGAAATTTAAGTATGCTCAATAGCCAAAACTGTTTCATTCATGCTAATAAGACTTATAAAACTGAAATAAATTGTCAAAACTTTCTAATGAGGCCCTATTCAAGACAAAAATAAGAAATGTACCTGCATGGCTGTTTAGCTGACCAACAGGTAGGGTGGAGGCAGGACCGGTCCAGCAGGTCTCTCCTTGGGGCTGAGTGGGATGGTGAATGCAGAGGACTCAGATCTCCCCTGTCCACTGGAGAGAAGCACACTGAGCCGGGGAGTCTTGTCAAGGGAGTAACTCATTTTATTGCATCAGGAGTGGACTTACATAGGCTGAGTTGACGAAGCATATGGTGAGGATAGTGGGCCAATGAGATGATGCTATCTCAGCAGTTACTAGGCAGAGGTGATGCTAGGTCGGGTTTAGCTGAGTCACTCATATGTGTAAGTCATGTCCGAAGATAGGTTGCCAAACTCGAGCTAGACTGAGGAAGTTATACTGGGCCTCACGCCCGGGCCTTATGAGGCCCAACACATGGCTTCAAGCCCTTTCAGTTTCAAGGCTACTGTATACTATAGTTACTAGCTATGCATACACCATAAATGGATAGCACCACATCAACCTCAGCATCAATTAATTATTTTCTTTTATATAGTTTTTGGTACACATGTAATTTTACCATCTATTAAAACAAGGACATATGGAAGACTAATCAAATGATGATTTATTTTAACAGTAAGAAATCAAGTCTGAGAATTTGATACTGAAAGACAAGGCAACAAAATCTTGGAGACTGACTATAATCCACTCTAGCCAAAAGAGTGAGCTGGAGGTTCAAGGAGAGACCCAGGACTCAGTCTAAAAATATAAGTGACAAACAGAAGAGGAAGACATTGGATGTATAGTCAATGCTTTTATTCCTAAACATAAAGTACATGCCATATGGAGACCGAGTTACCAAATGATGTACTAAAACTCTCCAGAGATGTAACAGAAAAATCTTAGTTGATGCATGCATGTATAAGGCTATTTATTGAAATATTATCTGTCATAGTAAAAAATAAAATAAAAGTATCACAATTTTTTCAATACAGTACAATATAATACAGTTAAATTATATTACATGCACACAATGGCATACTAATTATAAAACTGTGAAAAAGAATGAGGAGGCCTTCTGTATGCTAATATATATATATATATATATATATATATATATATATATATATATGAAAATAGAAAAAATCTATCGTCAATAAAAGAAAGAAAGGAAAAGAATATAGGCAAATATATACCTACATTCTTTTCCTTTCTTTCTTTTATTGACGATAGATTTTTTTCCATATAATATACCTTGAGTTTCCCCTCCATCTGCTCCTCCCAGTTCCTCCCCACATTCTGTCACCTCTGGATATCCCCCCCTTTCTGTCTCTTATTAGAAAAGAACAGGTTCCTAAGAGATAACAACCAATCATGACAAAATAAAATATATGAAGCAAAAAAAAAAAAAAAAACCTATCATTGATGAAGGTGGACTCAGTAACCCCAGAGGAGGAAGAGTTCCAAGAGCAGACATAAGTAAAAAACCCACTCTTCTCATGGTCAGGAGTCCTGTATAAATACTAAGCTAATGGATATAATATGTATGCAGAGGACCCAAGGCAGACCCATGTGGGCGCTATGCTTGCTCCTTCAGTCTCTGTGAGCTCATTGTGCCTGCTTAGCTGACTTCGAAGGGCTTGTTCTCCTGCTGTCGCCTGGCTCCTCGTACATTCTTTCTGCCTCCAATTTCATGGAATTCTCTGAGCTCTGAGGCAAGGAATTTGATGCATACCACCAATTTAGACTTCCTCTCGTCATAATGTCTGCTTGTGGGTCTCTGAACCTGCTCCTATCAGATGCTGGAGGAAGTCTCACTTTGATGATTGGATAAGGTACTGATCAATTAGTATAGGAGAATCTCACTAGAAATTTTTTTTTTAAATTTTATTTTACATCGGTTCTACAATGTTTGGTTTTACCCTAGATCTCTGGTCTACCTAGTTTCTGGTCCTTAGTTATCCCAACAGTTTGGGGTATGGGTTCCACCTTGTGGAATTGTCCTCAATTGAATCAAACATTGGGTGGCTATTCCCCCACACTCTGTGCCACCAGTGCTCTAGTATATTTTGCAGGCTGGACACACTGTAGGTCAAAGGTTTTGTGGCTGAGTTTTGCATATTTCTCTTTCAGTTGCCTGAAGAGCACCTTTCCAACCAAACACCCTAAAACATAGGGGTGAGGACTCCATGCAGGCATCAGCTCAACTTCTCATGTTCAAAGAACTGTGTGTATTTTGTCTTCCAATTGGGCTGTCACTTCAAGTGACACACTGTCACACTGTCTAATTGGGCTGGGACTTCAAGTCAATCACAATGATCGACATGTCTGTTTTTGTGCCTGTAACCTGTGTGTTTTATTACTATAGCTCTACAGTACAACTTGAAATTAGAGATGGTGATAGCTCCCACAGTTCTTTTATTTTCAGGGTTCTTTTAGCTTTCCTGCTTGTTTTATTTTGTTCTGTCTTTTGTTTTTTATTTTGTTTTTGTTATTGAGAAACATCCATTCAAGGTTGGTATTGATTATTTGTGGGATTTTTATTAAGATTGCATTGAATCTGTGTAGATTGCTTTTGGTGGGATGGTCATTTTTTCTAGGTTAAATCCTACTGATCAACAAGCATGGAAAAACTTTCCATCTTCTGATATTGCTTCAATTTCCTTCTCGAAAGACTTGAAGTTTTTGTTATACAAGTATTTCACTTGCTTCATTACAGTTACCCCCAAGATATTTTAAGCTATTTTGGGCTGCTATGAAAAATGTTCTTTCCCTGATATCTTTCTCTGACTATTATTTGCATATAGGAGGACTATTAATTTTTTTAAGTTAATCTTATATCTAGCCATTTTGCTCAAAGTTTTTATCAGCTGTGGGAGTTTTCTGGTGGAATTTTTTGGGTCACTTATCTTAAACATACTATCATATCATCTCTAAATGATAATAGTTTGTCTATCTTGTTTTCTCAATGAATCAAGTCATTGTTTCATTGATTCTTTGTATTGTTCTCTCTTTTTTTTTAGATTTTATTGTTTCAGTTGTCAGTTTATTTCATCTGCTCCTTTTGGGTGTGATTGCTTCTTTTTGTTCTAGAATGTTTTTGTGCTGTTTCGTTGCTAGTATCTGATATATCTATATCTATATCTATATATATATATCTATATATATAGATATATTATGTAGGCACTTAGGTCTATGAACTTTTCTCTTAGCACCAGTTTCATTATGTCCCATAAGTTTGGGTGTGCTCTGTGTTTATTTCCATTGCATTCTAGAAAGTGCATTATTCTTTTTCTTTACTTCTGTTCTGACCCATGTTTTCCTTCAGTAGACAGTTGTTCAGTTTCCCCGAGTTTATAAGCTTTCTATTATTTCTGTTGTTGTTGATATCTAGCTTTAATCATTGGTGGTCTGAGAGGATGCAGGGAAATATCTTAATTTTCTTGTATGTGTTGAAACTTGTTTTGAGCCCAAATACGTAGAAAATTTTGGAGAAATTTCCATGAAATGTAGAAGTTATATTCTTTTGTTTTTGCATAAAATTTATATATGTTAGGTCCATTTGGTTTATAATGTCTGATAGTGTCAGTATTTCTGTTTAGTTTCTGTCAGGAAGACATATCCATTGGTAAGAGTGGAGTAATTACATCACCCACATTTGTGTGTATGTGTATCAGTGGGTATAATATGTGATTTTAGGTGCAGTAATTTTTTTTCTTTTACCAAGTTGTGTTCCCTTTGTTTGGGAAAGAGATGCTTAGAATTGAAATGTCATCTTGTAGATTTTTTCTTTGGTGAGTATGCAGTGTTCCCTAACTCCCTTGATTAGCTTTGATATGAAGTCTATTTTTTTCTTTTGTTGATTAAGGAACTTTTTATTCATTTTACATACCAACCACAAAACTCCTCTATTCCCTCCTTCCCCCACCCTTCCAGTCTTTCCCACCCAGCAATGCCCCCATTCCCTCCCCCACCTTTTTTTTAAGCTATTAAAATAGCTATACAAGTTTGCTTCTTAGGTCCCTTTGTTTGGAATGTATTTTTCCAAGCTTTAACCCTGAGGTAATGACTATCTTGATGTTGAGGTATGTTTCTTTGATGTAGTAGGACAGACCTGTTTATGCACCCATTCTGCTAACCTGAGTCTTTTTATTGAGCATTGAGACCATTTATATTGGGAGATATAA